TTGATTTTAACTTTTTTTATTCATTTTTTGTTTATATAGTTGCAATTTAACAGGTATGAAATGATAATCTAGTGTTATGTTATAGAATGTAGTTTTCAGTTGACAATGATATCAAGGAGCAATTAAATTAGAATGATAATTAAATTATTGAACATATAATTTCTAAACGAAGTAAAATCGTTAATGGTTGTCCCATGAAAACTAACAGAGAAAGGTTTATGTTGAATTAAGGGTAACTTGTTGGGTAAGCTCCAAGTTTCAAATGTATATTCAAAGAAAGCAAGTGTAACGCTGAAATAAAAAAAGATACAAAAAGGGAAGGAGTGGTTGAAGAGGCTACCTTTAACCAATCTGAATACGAGGTTGCATTCAGTGTTGATTACGAGGTCTACAGATGTGCTGATGGTTGATTCAGATGGCTGAATAATGAACAAAGGTTTGTATGTCGTTTTTTCAACTGTAGCATCTTTTCAGAAGCTAGTGGTGCAGCCTAAGGGTGAATCCTCCCTCGGACTCATCGCTTAAAAGGAAAAGGGAGGGGTAAGAGACGTCTTACATAGCTGGCGTCCTTAACAATAGCGCTCCTTAACATTGACGTAGCTGGCTAAATACGATAAATTGAATTGACACCACAAACTATTTTGCTTCTATATTGTGAAAAAAGCTCTTAAAAATTCAGCGGCGAAGATTTTCTTTGCGGTCGAAATTCTTGACAAGATTTTTAAACAGTTTCCTGTTATTTTACATCCATTGCAATTTTCCTATACCCAATATATTAACGAACTTGGTCTCTTGCCTTCTTTTTAATGAACCTAGGCAGTGTTGAAATGCTACTAAGATGCATTCATTGTATGCAATATAACTGTCTCCTTAATCAAAATATCATCCAATTTCTTCTTGCACCGATATCTCATTTTTCTTAATGGAAAATTAGTACACCGGCTTAGGTTCGTTAAAAGATGTCTTATTGAAAAGTCCCTCCAAAGACTTCTGCATTTATTCTAATTAAAGTCATACATATTAACAATATTGAGTCGCTTAATCCTTACTTTTAAATAACTGAGGTAAGCGCGTTTACGAATCATTCATTCAAATGGTCGGTTATTACTCATTCGCTCTTTGGTTGATTAGAAATCCCACTATTTCTCATCATGTCCACTTTTTCTAGCAGTTCGTTACATCAAGTTGTGGTGTTATCGTTTTACGTGCCCATACATTATAAAGATAAATAAAACGAATCCACGTATTGTGTCGTTTTAACTTAAAAGGCAGAAACGTGGTCAGGGTACCACCCAATATTTGCAATATTCTGCTCTGTCTGAGCATATCTTGCAAAGGCCCTTCATGAAAAATAGCAACAAAAAATGTCTTCCTTTTTAGAATCCCCTACCAGCATCACATATTGAACTAGACTGTGGATCCACAAATTTCTACGTAACACTACGTAACAAATTAATCCTCAGAGAAATGTACTTTGCATAAAGCCAAAAAAGGATCTGAGTTTGTTTGTTCAACTTGTCTTGATAAACTGTTAGATTGTGGTTTCACAGACACCAGAAAGCATTCTGGCATTCGTGTGATGAGATGCATCCCTACAGGGGCAATTTCACCAATCATTACAACAAAACCTAAGGGAGGTTTTAACCAGAGCTAAGAGTTATCTTCAAGCCCACAAGGCATTGATATTGGGAAATATTTGAAAAGGCCTGAAGCGACACTTTACATCTCGTAAACACAGCCGCAAAACAAGTTCATGCAGCTCAAAAAAGGGCAAGTATGAGAAAAGTAGAAAATTACGAACAGGTATGATGTTAAAAGTGAAGAAATTCTAATGGGTGAACTCATAAAAGTGGTTAGCAAACTTCAAGCGTTGGAAAATGAAAGGCTTTTTGCTGACGAAACTACCAAAATAAGTAACAATTAATGGAAATGTCAAGAAAGTAATCGATTTATGGTTACGAGGACTGTAAATAGATAATCGTTGTACGAGACTGTTAAAGTTGAGTGGCTGTTGTTCTGACTTGTAAAGTATTGTTACTGCAGAAGATTGTGTTTCGTACAAGAGGATCATTGGCGCTGCAAAACTGTACACCAATCTTAATAAAAGAAGCCACGGATACATGGTAACATAGGATTTACAAATAAAAAGTTTCCTTCTATCATGTGAGCAAGTACCTCAAGTCACAAAACAGTTCATTCTCCAATGAAAAAAGACTTAAAAGTGGCACATTGATAAAAAAAGATGATTCTTTGGGACAATTTACCTCTTCTAATCATGACCATAACACAAAATTTCGTAAAATTGATCAATGACTAACAAACTATCACAAGATGATCAATTGATTTTGTATGCTCAGTTCATCAAACTTTTCAATCACATCGAGTTGGAAGAATATAGAAAAACCTTGGTAGACATGTGTCTGGGCTTACTTTTAGAAAAATTACAACCAATGCAGAGAGTTTTTCATTAACTTCAAGTGCGACTGTTCTCGAAACAGGAATCACATGCGACTGATCTCAAATCGAAACTCTACAAATTCTATAAACCAGAAATGTTGTTTTTAGTTCGTCTGGAGTCAAGAGAGAACAGGATGATCCCCGAAAACCTGATTTCAAATATTTATCGAGAATATTCTCTTAGCTGTTATACAAAAAAATTCTTAGGGCTGCAGCGGCAACAAGCGTCACCAACCACGGAGATCTTGTTCAGTGGAACTTTCCCACAAATATAACCCGGAATCATCTTCAGAGACTTGAAAATTATTGCGTGAAAAATGAATTTTGTACGAAAAGATTTTAGGAGCAAAATGAGCTTGGCTTGAAATGACACATTAGAATAAAGTCAATACTGTACTTGCAGAAAATGAGTTTGCTATTTATATTTCTTTGACTTCGGAGTTAACAATCTACTAAATATAGCCGTAACATTTTTGAGCATATGAGCCTCTTTACAGGCGTGACAGAAAAGAATGAATCTGCAGTTGTGATTTCTGATTTCTGTAAATCAGGATAGGATTATGACAGATGGTGACCAGGGAAGAGCTTGCAAAAAATACCATCTCCTTATGAGTTATAGGCCTTTTGATGTTTGGGTTGCGGTTGCATTGACACGACCATGAAATCTGTTTTGGATATTTTAGTGCAGCATATTCGCAACCGCAATTAACAAATAAACAGGCGGTGCAATAGATCCCCTGATACAATCATTTTAGGTATTCCATAGGTATCCTTCATGTTCAAATATTACCTCGTGTGACCGAAACCATACTTTATAGAGTTGGAAAACAGTAAACATTGAATGTCACAATAAGTATTTGGTGCAGTGTACTACTGAGGTTGAACGAAATCAAATTTGTAGGGTGATCTATGATTGAGTTTAGTGCAGGCGCTTGTTACTTCGTGGGTTGATTGGGCCTCCGAAGAAAGTACGTGATTAATTCGCTAATATTCACATTATGCACAGAAGACTGAAGGTATAAATTTTATGCAACGTTTTGGTGACTCTTCGTTATGTTTATGTTAAAGCAAGAAAGCCAACATTCCATAAGTAGGAAGTTAAAGAGACTAACAAACCTGACATCTTTATTCGAGCTGCATAAATCGGTAAAACTGATTTGCATCCAAATTCCTCTCGCTCTAACTACCCTACGCTCTTTCCAAAGTCGAATTCCTCTGAATATGAACGAAATAAAAACCAGTTGACGCTCACGCGAATCGAATTACATGATTATGGAGATGGAAATCGCAGGACATTTGCTTATTGTTCAAAGAGGTGAGCGAGGAATTTCATAAACGCAAGCCACACCAACCACAGATGGGTGAAATTTCAAGCTTGGGTGATTGAATGAGCCGGAGAAAAATTTGCTCCTATCAACAAGTCAGCTGAGAGAGAAGGCATGAGAAGCTCAAGCGAACAGAGAAAAACCGTTACGTTGATACCAGTGATGAAGGAGGTGCCTTAGCATAGAGTAGCTGTGGAAATCATATACCATGTTCGCGATTCGGCCCACTGGTGTGAGAAATCCATATAGCTGGGAAATTTTACCGAATGAAAATTACAGAAGGTATTAACATTATCCGGGCAAAGAGAACAATTTGAAATGAGTCATTCTATGGTTGTACCCTCCATTGTCGCTTTAGAGAGGGATAGGGTAGTTGTGTATCAAAGATATTTTCCCCCGCGAAATGTGTATAAAAACTGCAGATGACCAGTTAAGAGAATATTTGGATTCCCATGGTAAAATAGTAGCCGGATCAAGATTCTTAACACAAATAAGATTTGAAGAAATCTCGGTGAAATGTTAAATTTGTCTCAAAATGGACAAAAATGCAGTATACTCTCGTTAAGTATGACCCCGGATAAATAGGACGCCCGCTAAGTAGTACACTTCTGCTTGTCTCCCTTGAGTGTCCCAGTTAACTAGAGTATACTGTCCCTATAAAAACACTTGCTTAACAAAGGGCAGTACCTCTAATCCGACAGGTGTTCGCTATACAAAGGTTTCAAATCAAGAAGTGTCTTTCAGTCTGAAAAATGCGCACCTCAAAACAGTTTTCCGACGGAGGGGCTTGGCCTTCCGGCAGGAAAATGGCTCAAATATATTTCCAAGGCCTACGAAAATGAGTTTGATCTTGTATCTTCCAACGGCAGGGGCGGCTAGCTATTCGAAGGGGGAATTATCTCTAGCCCCAGAGAACTCTCTAGCCCTCCCCTAAGCCTCCCCTAGCCCTCCCCTAGGCCTCCCCTAGGCCTCCCCTAGGCCTCCTCTAGGCCTCCTCTAGGCCTCCTCTAGAGCTCCCCTAGAACGTAACCTCATTCTTAGAAATCTGCCTAAAATTTTTGAAAACTGCCAAGAATTTTTTTGAAAGCTGTCCTACATAACCACCAGAGAGCAAAGCCTAGACATGATCAGTGTATTACGTCTCCGTTGACTTTCCCTACCTTTTGTAATGCTGTCAAAGTTTAACAGCCCACTCAGTAACTGAAATACCCAACATACCTCGATTACTGTTCATTGTGCTAGACAGCATCTGGAACGTTGAATGACCTACAAGGCAAACGGAAATAAGAACGAGCAACAGAAATATAGAAAAGTAAACAGGAGTGTCTCTGAGAAAATAAATTTTACATTATGGAGCTTTTTATAGAAATCCGTTAAAAGGGAAATACTGGGCTCAAATGAACCATAACGTAACTTTAGTCTAGATTCCAAAAGCTTTATCAGATCCAAGATTCTGGCGAGTTGAAATAAGGAAACGGCTCGACACGAGGGTATAGCAATGAGTGACAAAGCGTTACCCTAAGACAAATATGAAATATTTTCTCTGATAAACCCATTCTTCGTGTTTCTTATATTGTCTTTTCTCTGTTCCTTCAATTCCCCTCTTGCTCCCTTTCCATTCGATGTCAAATTTTTTCAACCCTTTTCTCCAAGATTCTCCCACTTTTGTTTATCTACCATAATCTACTACTAAAACAATCAACCACTATGTTTTTATATATTGTAGATATTTCTATGACATTTTATAAAAGTTTTACTTGCATATTTGAGAGACTAAGTATTTCTATGGTTGATGTCATTTATTTTACAAAAGAAGCATAGTACAACAGTTCAAGGTTTTAATCTTAAAGTATAAAACGCTTTTTAAAGGTTGACCATCTAAGGTCTGACAAAATTGATCAACAGATTTCTGATAGAAAGTGACTTATAACGAGACAGAAACACCACAAGGACCGCACATTAAACCCCTCATCTCCCCCAATCAATGGTAAAAAATAGTACGAATTATAACACATCCGGTAAAAAAATCCAAAATATTTATCATTTAGCTTTCAATAAAAAGTCAAAGTTATTTTGGAACTGAAATGACTCGACTAAATCTCTACATATTGCGTTTTGGAAGGGGTCAAGAAATTAATTAGCAGTTGGAAATAAACGGAAACCTTGCATTAACCTGGGGCCTTATTCTCTATTAAATCCCAAGAATAAAATTAGGATGCAATGAATATTACATTTCCACTGGGGCACAAATATTGGAGAATTTTAAAGCCAATTCGCTCTATGCAAAAACTAAAAGATGAATTTCTGAAATTTGGTCAAAGTCAGAAGTAGTGTTTTTATTCTTTGGCAGATTGCACGAAAAAGCAAACAGTTGCATACTTTAGAATATATTGCCTGGCACTCGGTTTGAGCATCGGAAGATGACTAGAAGTACGCGGATATGGTCCATGATGCCATTTCACAACGAGGCTCAATATAATGCACTTTTGAAAATTCTAAGATAAGATGACTGCCACGTGAAATCATTAATGATAGGACTCTTGAACTGCGCATGCCCATCATACTAAAGCATGACACGATTGTAGGAAGGAAATCTTCGTGCAACTTTCTACGCTTTCATACTCAGATTTCAAAGTGGTAATTTTAGCGGCATCCATTTAACGAAGCATCCTAGCATCCGTTTGTGGACACATAAATTATCATATAATAACTACAGTTTTGAATCTTATTCCATAACATCAAAGTGAAATAGCAAATCCGTCATCTGCCTCGAACAACAGCAAATAAGGACCACTGCCAGCCCCCCCCCCCCCCCCCCCCGACAACTTTTTAGAGGCCTGGGGCAGAACTGAGATACGACCCTGATGACGTATAGAAAACCCTTTGGTGTTAACTTCAGTCATATTCTACAAGGGACTACGACATTCAAATTAATCTGACTTACTTTGAAATTTCACTGATTAGTAAAGAAAATATTGTATCTACTTGCTTAAACCAAAGCTATAAGTCGCATTCTGCTTTTTACAGACGTTCAATGCTCAGGAGCAAGAGCAATGCCCCCTAACCCCCTACCCCCTCCACGGCACAACGCATATCAGAACAAAATATATTTCTTTCATAAACCACATCGAAACGAAAATAATGTAGTAAATCCATCAACGACCCCGTGCTTTCAATGACACAAATGAAAAGAATTAAAACTCGTCAAGACCTTAAATTTCATTCTATTGTGTAAACAGGGGAGTTTGTTACAATTATTCTGAAGGTCCGAAGAGTTGCGTCACTCAGGTCTGTTTTGGGTAAATTACTAAACCGAACAGCTTATATCTGGTTATGGTGAGCTGAAACATATGCCATAAAACATTTCTCAAGCCAGAATATAGTTTCAGGGAGCCTTATCGCAAAAATTACTTACGTCAATTATTACTGGCAAACTAACAAATAACATAGAAATCGTCCAATAGCGACTGAAAGTGTATTAATGACAACCCACTTCCTTAGTTAATCGAATTGATTTCCCTATCTAATTAGGCCGATGAAAACCTTCTTCACATGTTTTGCCTCCAAAATGAATGGTAGCAATAGTTACTACTAAGGACGTTTATACATGCGACAAAGAACGATGTTTTGCATTTATACATAAATAAGACAACGTCTACCGTAGTTAAGCACTGGATTCTTGATAGACCTCAATCTGCTTAAAGCGTTTTACAACCAGAAGCTCCATGGCCCTCATTGTATCAAAGTTGCTCAAAATTTGACGACTCGGGAGAATCGTGGCTTACCGGAAAATATCTAAAACGTGGAACAATTCCCCCTGAAATGAGGCTGCGAGAAAAATGATACCACTTTTGAAAATCACCAAAACACGGTTTACCTTAAGGATGAAAAGAACTAAGGACATGATTACATTAGAAATCAAATGTCTTTTGTTGAAATATCTTCCAAAAAGATCTCATTGCAAAAATCACTTGCCAGGAATTACGAAGCCAATGGGATACTATCATTCCCAACTTCTGACTCATTAAACACGTACGGATTCAAAATCAAAACACTGTCACATGTTGTCGAAAAAGTACAATAGCCATTTTGGGACTATTTCCAAAGCTGGATCTGAGAGAGGCAGTCATTTTTTTTCGATTTAATTGCAAAATCAGCCATATAGTGACAGCAACGATTCGGTAATAAGAAAACGTTTGAACATCTGCCCCATCGAAAAAATTTCTGGTATGTAGTAAGAAATTCTTTCAAATTTCAGAGTTATTAAGTTAATCTTTTCCTAGTGTAAGTACGATTTGATCTCGAAAACACAAGGAGCAAAAAGGCATTTTAAAACTACACTCTGTAATGAAGGCCTTAAAGAATGAAAACGATAGAACTTGAATTGCAACAAAATCACTCACTTTTGTAATAAGCTATCTTTCAAGCATCATCCACCGTATTTCCACGAAAATGTTATTCAAAATACTCTTTGACAAACTGAGTATTCAGACGTTGTTTATAAACATCCTAAGAAAACGCTGTTCTCAATTATCCAAACAACAACTGATCAATTAGTCACAGAGAGGATTAGCATCGCTACCATAGTGTTCATAACTCGCTCTTTGCGGACGGGAGAGGGCGCCATGATACTTGCGCTAAGTACCTTACGTACGCATCGGATTTGGCACGAAATCCAGGGCTTAGACAGGCTGCCAATAGTTATTTTAATACCTTGATCTCGACTCTTTTACTACTGGCATTGAAAGATCTCCAAGGAATTCCTTTAAAATTTATTAAATTTAAAAGAGTTAGATTAGCCGCAATCCCTGCGGACATGGATCATAGGGTGTGCTAAAATACTCCAGACCTGAAAAACACTCCCCATGGGCCCGTGTAATCCTGTATCGTGTCTCAACAGCCACAGACCAAAAAGAATATTGAATAGATTTGAACAATAGTCGTCTCTTGAATGTCTTGTCGTGGTCAGGTCGATGTTAGATATAAATCGATTTTTGGAATGCACGACTGACTTCATTAAAAGCGTTAGTTGGAAAATAAATGAAATTTAGATAACAAATTATAGTTTTAAAACACATTAAAAACCTCTCGAAAGGAATGCAGATGGATTAATAACCTGTTTTCGCGTCAATTGCTTCAGACTACAGTGACCCATTCGATGTTAAATTCAGTTTGACAATATCAAATCGAAAATTTATTGGTCTTTTCCAGACATATCTTTTCTAAATGGGATTTATGGAGAATCTTCATCTTTTCAAAGGCAAAAGCCAAAAGATGATTCTAAAATTTGTTAAACATTCTCATTGTATTGAATATCTATCATAGATAGCTTATTATTTAGTAATAGATAGCTTAGAATAACCTCGAAAATCACGCTTCCTTTACAATTAGGCCCTTTTAATGTCTAAAATTTGCTCAAAGATGAGACTTTGTTTTGTCCATTATCTGACATTGAAATAAAATTAAAAACAATTATCCCACAGTGAATCAAAAAATTGAAATCCCTGGAAAAATTGAAATACACAAAAAATCACACAACAATTTTTGAAAATTCACAACTACAAATATGTTAAGTTAGAATGCAATTTTTTTTAATTTACCCCCTTTAATTGATGTTCTACACGAAATGCTATAGAAATTAATGGTCTATTACCCTTCCCTCCTTAATTCTTCACACAAAATGGGGCTTTCAAAATTCACATCCTTTGTGTGGGTTCGCTAAAAATCATGTACTATACGGTTTTTAAAAAACCCTTTATGCTGTTATTTCTAATCATACGATTTGAAATCTGATGTACGGAAAAAGTTACCCTTTAGGAGAGAAGAAGAAATCTATAATTTATTTATCCTTGCTTTCTTTAAGAAGTTCGTTCCAATTACACGAGACATGTAGGGACGAACACGAGCTAAGAAAACAGATAGGGCAGAAAACTTTATGCTACAATCCCAACTGGATAATCTCCTTCAGCGATTAGGGCAGATAAAAATTATTAATTTTACCAATTCTACATGAATACTTGGAATTTCGAGACAGTTCTTTATATTGGAAAGATGATTAGATACTATCTTTGCCTCTTACTATCTTTACCGCAATTGAATTTGGTATAAATACATCAATCGCAGGAGAATCTCATATCTCTGTTTTGTTGAAAAAGATATTCCTGATATCGTTGTGGCTTAGGCTGCGTTTTCTCGACTTGGAGGCTTCATCTCTGACAGATAAGCCTTGTCCCATAAAGGTAAGACGACTTAAGCGTTTTAAGGCGTGAAGCAACTCCCGTTAGGTGATTGTGTTTTAAAAAGGATATAATATACTCCAGGTTTGATCTTCTTAAAATCTGCCATTCCGTTGTTGAATAAAATATATGTAATTCCGTAGTGAAGATAGAAAATTTATTCACTATTGAGTCAAACATTTGAATTTAGAATCATCTGATACATATTTCGACCCGTTGTATTAAAGAAGCCCAAAAACAGAAAAATTCCGTCAATGAAAATGGAAGCGATTTGCAGTAACTGGACCGTATAATAAATTCAACAGCAAAAAGTATGCGGAAGTTTTTTAGGTGACGTTTGGCACTAAACTTGACAGTACTTACAAACATAAAACAAATAGGTGTGTGAATAAGCTTCCGTTTTCGAAAGCCTGTATTCAAATCAATGAGAATTAAAACTTATTTTTGCAAAGTTTTCATGATTTCAAACACCAATAATAACAAAAACGTGGACATACCGTTTGACATTGAATTGGTGATGTTTCTCAGAGGAGAATCGATGCCAGAATCCGAAGACAATGACGTGAAAGCGGCGACGATATTCTCCTCTAAAAAGTGTTAAAATATTTCTCAGTGTAAATTTTCCCGCTATTTTGTTACTGATACTAATAAGATACATTCAAAACCTCAAGAGAAGAAAGCTTAGAAGTATATAAAAGTAAGCAAATAAAAATCATTGTCACAAAAAATCAATGAAAATGAACGCATACACTCTCTTTTAATAAGAACCAGTAAATTTAAGTTCAGGCTGACTGTTCTTAAGTTTTTCGAAAATCTGAGGCTGGATTGTTCTTAATTTGTTCTTAATCTAATAGGGTGTAAGCAGTGCTATTGCTAGCTTTTTCGCTCTAAGGAGGTGTTCAGGCCTCATTTGCCAACAAAGTGAGTGAGACAACCTTCATTTGCCGAAAAGTTTGAATATTCGACGAAAAAGCACCCACACATCGCTAAAAATCCTCGATTTTGAGAAAAAACGTTGTTCAAAATTGCATTTTGCAGAGGCTCAGCCTCAGCTTGTTCTTAATTTGTTCTTAACTTTTGACCAATTTTGAGGCTCATGTTCTTATAAAATTGTTCTTATAAAAAAAGAGTGTAAATTGAATACAAAACCCATGATTTTATCATACAAAAATATATTGGAAATTCAAAAATAACTATTCTTTGAACAACAATATATTTACACAAATATCGAAAGCACCAGAAAAGAGAAGATATGAATACGAAGAAAGCAACGAGAAATAATATTTAGTTCAAAACTTGCTATCCCATTGTTGCAAATATAACAATGCAATGAGCTAATTTTTCTCTATAAGTAAAAATAAGACAAAAACTGACGAACACCGAGGGGCAAATCACTCCAAGAAAATCTCGTACACTTTTTGTGAAATTCTATTGTTTTATCTGAAAATCCCTGGAAATCCTTTTGTTTTAGGGGAAATCTCGTACGCTATTTGCAAGAGTGAATTGCCCCTCGACGAACACAACAGCTGGAAGGGTTTATTCGAACCAGATTCTGAATTTCAGTACGGAAATCTCTGTATCTAATTTGAAAATATCTGCTCAATGTACAACGTCTTTAATATAAGACCACTCTAGCATCTTGTGACCTCTGCTTATCAGATTTGCTTTTCAGATTAAGGAGCATGAAATGAGAGTCGACAAATGGACTCAAGAATTTGAGTTTAAAACGGCTCTATAAATCCTTTCGTTGATTCTTTCCAATTTGGTCCAAAATATTTAATCCATAAATTCTACTTCTATTTAATCGGCGTTAAATTGCTGATCTTTGGCCAGTGTTTGAAATGTCCTCGCTTTTTGAGCTACGACGAAAAATTTGGTTCCCTCGTCACGAACTTGAGCGAAAATAATACGACAGTGGAGATCTTACCTTCAAATTCTTGGTCTGGGATTGGTTTGAAAATTAACTCGACCGTACATGTTTCAGGAAATCTCCGATCTGTGGAGGATAAGGAAAGAGATTACCATGGATGTAATATCAAGTTAAACTTTAAGTATCAAGGAACTGGAAACAGGCAAAAGTGATTTGACCCATCCGGATTTACGCTGGAGAGCGATATACGATAAAAGGCTCGAAATAAATAGGATAGCATGCTCACAATTGCTTCTGCTTGTTGAATAGCAAATAAGATTGATAGAAGAATGAAGGAATATGCTCTTTTTGCAACATTCATGTTTACATTTTTGTTAGCCTTAGGTGGTCTGGTGGATGCTTTAAACAGCAACTCGAGCTTGAAGGAGTAACATTTCCTTTAAAGGAAACACAGATGCTTTGAATTGGCTGAGAAGGTACCATTCTAGCTTGCTCTATATAAAAATCATCCAGCAATATAAAACATTTTAAGCTAAGCAATGAACTTAACAACACGTCGTCATGCACACGAAAGACGGCTTGTATTATAATATAATGCTCATATAGCGTAACGACTATCAACTTCTTTAACTACACACATGGACTAGGGGGGAGGGACATGGTGCCCCTTCAATGTTCTGAAACGGAGGTAGAGTGCTTATTTGCAGCTCACTGAGGTATCCCTTTTCGCTTACATGTCCCCCATCACCACTTTTAAAATTCTTCGTATGTCTATGACTACATGTGTAATTTTGCAATCCCGTTTATACTGGGAAAAAACCTCGATCCGACAGTGCTGTCTCGAGGGATAGAGACCCTGGTTTGGCTGCAGTGACGAGGAAGGTTGTTTTCGTTGTTGTTGTCTCTGCGGGGTTCAATGAGGTGTATAGTATTCTATAAACCTCATTGATGGGGCTGCTAACTGCTGATCCTTACTGTCTATGTTAAATGACTTCCTATGTGAAAATGTTTATCAAGATTTTGTTGTAAAATATTCTAAACGGTAACATTTTTTAATTGTATTATGATTCGTGTTTATAGTGAAGACTAGATATTTTGAGAGTTGAAGAAAAATAAACAACAGGGTTCATGTCTACAAGCTTGTTTCGTGTTTCGGGAGATTTCGGTAGACTTTTTTAATTCTAATTGAACTTGTACTAAATGTACATGTGAAAAAATCTTAGGGCTTATTTCTCCACCCATTTAAGCACACAGACAGATATATGATTCTCTTTAGTATAATTTGCAACAACTCAAAGCAATGCATAATCCATTTGAGCCGAAACTGTGATAATCAAACGCTTTTTAGAGTGAATACCACATTGCAAAATCCGGTCATTTGATTGCTACACCCAGATCTAAAGCCGGGCTAATAAAATTCTAAGCTTTAAAATGCGGTTAACGCTTTGAAAATAGAGAACTACAGAGGTAGCGTATAATCGTTACGAGCAGTGCATCATTAGCCCTGTCCACACTACACAAACTAACCCAGGTTCGCCCCAGGTTAAATTTAACCTAAGGCGAACCCTCCTCTGGAGATGGGTTAAACTAACCCAGGGCGAACCCAGGTTAGTTGTGTCCACACTGCAAAATCGAACCTGGGTTAGTTTGTGTAGTGTGGACAGGGCTATTATGTTAGCACGATATTGTATCAAAAAGAGCAACTTTACCAGCATTAAATCACTCGCCGTAATAGAGACAGAACACTTTGTGGTTTTTAAACTCCATCTTGGCACGATCACAAGGGTGGAGTCAGCTGTGGTTATATTACCTTTTGCTAAATGATTGTTTTTATATGTTAGATGAAAGATCTGTTATACAAGTTTCAAAATGTAGCATTTATCTCCTTAATGTAATATCCATTTAAGTATGTGCGAATTCCATGATAATGAGACATCGAGCCGAAACTCTAAGGCTTATTTTGTGGAAAGCAGACGACACTTTCTGTCAATATATCTCATTTTGCCTTTGTTGGAAAGTTAATCAAATAAGAGATCTGTTCGAATGTTACAGTACTTGTTGGCACTACATGTGATGATTTCGAAAACCATCACTAACTGCCAAATATGTAGAAAAGTACGTTTTAGCTAAGAAGGCAGTATGCTGATCGAATAGCCATCTGTGTCTGTTTGCGTGCGTTTCGCATTGGTTACCCTATATAGTGTTATGACTATCCACCTTAACTACACGCAAAAATAGGAACTGGGCAAACAGGGGACGATGACCTTTCGCTTCCCAGCCAAAATTCCTGTACTCCATCATATATTCTCACTTTTTTTTATAAGAACAATTTTACAAGAACACGAGCCTCAAAAGTGGTCAAAAGTTAAGAACAAATTAAGAACAAGCGAGGATTTTTAGCGATGTGTGGGTGCTTTTTTGGTGAATATTCAAATTTGTCAGCAAATTAAGGCTGTCTCACTCATTTTGTTGGAAATGAGGCCTTGGAGCGAAAAAGCTAGCAATAGCACTGCTTACACCCTCTTAATTTAAGAACAAATTAAGAACAATCCAGCCTTAGATTTTCGAAAAAATTAAGAACAGTCAGCCTGAATTTAAATTTACTGGTTCTTACAAAAAAGTGTACTCATAAAGCATTAACGGAGCCAGTAAAAGCTACCTACAAGCAAATATTGAAAACTTTTCCAAAGACTTTTTAGATCTCTCCAATTTAGGAACTTTTCTGTTATGCATTCTCAATTGATCCTCGTCTTATATACATGCTTTTTTTTATAAGGAATCTACCTCAAGTCCTGGTTCAAAAAGTTCCTTATTCGTAGACCTCAAATCATCAAATTGTAGCGCCAAAAGTTCCTTAATAGTTCCTTAATTTTCACTGCACATCAAGTGCCATAAAAATAGTACAGAAACAGGAAAAACATAAAAATTTTGAATTTTGAATTTCCTTGTGGCTAGAACTCAGGATCAAAAATACAAAGAAGGCTATTTATATGGAAATCTCACTTTCGGTATTTTGACTACAATAAGCCTTAACACTTAATAGAGAGAGGGGCGAGGCAGCATGTGCGGAATAAGTTCTTGACTCAAATCGAAAAGCGATTCTTGAGTTCTTAAGTTCTTTAAACATTTCGGCCTTCTACATGTAGGTTCCATATAAAAAAAGCGTTTATACGTTATGTAACGAGCTGAGTTGATGAATATTCATGTTATGTTCGAAAGTTGAGTCGATAAATATCCATGTTATGTTCAGCCAAAAATCATTTATCTCTGATAACAATCTGAAATACGCGGTTGTGCCCAGAACTTGAAATTTTTGTTCCACAAAAACGACTTCCTCGCTTATGAAGCACTGATTACGTTTTGTATGAAGCATTGTACACAATCGAAAGGTGAAAGTCCTGTCCTATCTAATCCTTTCCAAAAAGTGGCGATTTTCGCGGAATTTGTGTTTTGATCCTGCACTGTACGTGTCATCTCTCCAAGAAGATCAATTTACACTGACCTGTTCTCTTGTGGAAGGCAGACACGATGCAGTCAAACTCTCTGCACCGGGTTCTACAGAGACCATAAAAATACTATGGGAATACCACAAGCAGCATCGGAAGTGCTAGTGAAAATATGGCTTTCTTTACGATATAAGCGTTTTCGAATGTTCCAAAGAGCATGACAACTATTAAAGGGAATGAACAGATAGCTGGGCTTTCACTGGCTTTTCGTCTCTTATTCACACTATCCAGAATCATGAAAAGCTGCTTTCCAATTTTGTTACATACTTCGACACTCAAAATAAAGAAGTGATGAATCGAAAAACTACAAACGAGCGGTTACTTTAAACTTCTGTAAGTGAAGTCAGTTCAATTTCACTACACATTCCAACCCCTCCCTGACCCAACTAAACATACATGGACCTTCGCACGCAAAAATGGTCAGGATGATAAAACACTGTTATCTGGGTGACGGGTGTTCCCTTCAGCTATATTGCAAAAATTATTAGCCTACCCAAAGTTAAGAAAAACATATAACCCCAATATGATCAGAATTTATATACATACATGTGTATAATGTTTAAATATAATAAATACAGAAGGTGTAAATATTGAAGCTCCAAAACGAGAAAGTCTTGTGAGAAATTGTATAAATATTAATGAGAGGAAAAAAGGCCCGTTTCAAAAGAATTGATTAACTAGCAGCTACTACCAGTGAAGTAATTTGGGCTTCTTCGAAGAAAGTATGTCTTTGTTATATAGTTAAAGTGTTTTGTTGAAAACAAAATAGCGACCATGACATGGAGATGTCAGTTTAGATTAATTATTAAGCCAATTTACAAAAATAATTTAGAAGGTTAAGACAAAGTTGACAATCTATCACACACAAATACTACTGACAGTAAACCACAAACTACATGATTGGAAAACCAAGAATTGGTGTTAAAGAAACTGTTTTTTGACCATTTGATTATAGATCCAGCAGGAATAAAGAGCATTCCAGCTCCGTTGCCCTTCACCATAAGATTCTTTATCTTTCCTATCTCTTAAATCATCAGCATAATTTGTGAAAAATATCGGAATGGACAGCATCACAATGTTGTACAGAAACCCGAGAAATTCTTCCCCTTTTCTACATGGCTTTTTCATTTGTTTAAGAAGAGACTATAAGGAAGAATCAGTTCAATTTTCTGTGGCCTCTAGATTTTATCTTTTCCTGACATGGCTGTTACCAGCAGAACTGGATTAAAAAAACGCTAGGTTTCATATCCCAATGGTAAAGGATCTCTTTTCAGATAAGGGGTTGACATGAGGACATTAATAGAGAAGGTAAGCCTCTCTGGATGAAAGTGGATAAGCACTTTTAGAAGGAAATGCTTTGTTGATTGGAATAACAGAAAAAATCTAGAAAGGGCTAAAATGATGGTCAACGTGTCAAGCCAGCAATTCCTTTAAAGTTCCTTAAACTTGCCCACAGAGTCTAGGGATTATAAAAACGATTTTCTTATAAAAAATCATTTTCTAGTAAAACTCCTTTTCCATTTACACGTGACTCAAAGAGGTATGGTAAGGAAATAAAAAAGAAGTATGGTAATCAGAAGTTAAAGACGAGAAATTTAAAGATGTTTAAACAGATAAACACGCAAAGAAATGCTCACCTTTATATGCTTCGTCCAAATCCTTCTTTGACAGAATCAAGCTATAATCTTTGATTGCATCAATATGAAACTGGCATCTAAAGATGGTGTCTTGAAGAGCTGGAAGATTTGTTTTCTGCGAGCATTTAACCTGCATGTTTAAACGGTAGATCTGATTTATGAGGGTATATAAAGGTGAAAAGAAAACAAGGGAGGACATTTAGGCACACAAATTGGATGAGAAGACTTAGCAGCAATCTATATCCATTGTGCTTTATAAGACTTGGTATTGGCCTTGACTTGTGAGCTTAGAATATGCACGGTCTTCATGAATGGGTTTTCAAAGCCTCTGCATCAGGCAGAGACCTTCGATATTCAATTCCCTTTCGATTTTTCTGCTTGAACCGTTATTGACAAGATCAGCTTGGGCTTGCATCAGCTTTACAATAAAAAAGGTTAAAAACACTTAAACAAACCTGAGACTCTGTGAGCTTAAGAGTAGCAAAATGATTTTCCCGTTTTCAGAAATCGTACATCTATTTCACACTTTAGGCAGCCATTCACAATAATAGAGTTGTCAATTGGTTTCAAAACAGTACCGATTGCGCACATGCGCACTTTTTAATAACATTTATCAAAGCTGATTCCGAAAACTCAATCAGATTTATCTGAGAAGACTTGTTAGCAAACTGACAGAAATTTAAAACATCAATTAGAATGCATAAAGAACCATTTCTATTAAATGCTCTTGGTTTGCTTCTTATCAAATACGGTCAAATAACAGAAAATCATTCAAATATTTTCCGTCTTATTTAATCAAAGTTGGAAGCTTTCAATTAAAACCTACCATCACATCTCCAGATAAAGGAAATTCGCCCACGTCTATGCATATTCTTTCCAAGTCTGGAGTCGCAGCACTGCAAGAGAAATGAAAAAACGAGTTGTAGACTTTTAAATCTGATAGCAGCCGGGATTTGCTGTTGAATTACAAAGATTCGCCATTTTAGTAAACATATTAGAATTCAGAGAGATCCCCAAAAGTGGAAGTTGAGCAGTTGAAGACCTGTTTCAAAAAACGATTTTAAAAAAAATGAAATAAACAAGATTCATCGAAAAAATTTTACCCATTTACTTTACATATTTTAATGAATACAGCATATTTCTCACAGAACAGGAAATACTTCAAAGTTGGTTAAATTTTAAAAACAAGAAGTGCTAAGTGATAATTTTACGCGTTTTCTTTTAGCCTTGTTGTTCAAAAACAAAAGGTTGTTACTGGAAAACATTTTTGCAATTCAATCACATTTTTAGTAGATTTCTCAGAGCACTGTAAACTCAAGTCTTCGTACAAGTATTCTCAAGGGCGGCATGACTTAGATCTTAATCCTATCGCGGACAAATTTAAACTTAATTGTAGTTAACGAGGTTCGTTTGAGAATTTATTGGCTCAATGGTTGTTGAGAATTAACGAGAAACCAAAATCATACATATGAATAGCAATAAAAATGCTTTGAGTGATTTTTAAAGACGTCATATGTACAGCTCAATCTTTAATCCATTAAGCAGATTAATTTTGGGAAAATACGCTCAAAAAAGAACAGGGAAGTTTTCCACATGAATGTGGTGTTTATATGTTTGCTGCCATATCTACAAGCAAAACCCGTAGAAATGAGTATCGGTTTTTAATGAGTCTAATGCCTACCTTTCTGTTCAGATTTCTACCAATGAAAACACAGAAACCTATCTTACAAGTCGTTTTGCAACCAATTCAAAGTAGGCCTTGTTAGCATGTGAAACATTTTTGCCAATGGTAAAGGTTCATTATTTCTTTCATGATTTTAACCTTGTTATATACTTCAGAAACAATATTTCGTTGCATACTATATAGAACCGCATGAATTAATATAAACTAAACAAATATCAATCAACTTACTATACGTCACTGACATAAACTTGTTGATAACCTTGGTGCACTCTTATAAATAGCTTGCATCCACCTTTGCCGTCAAAATTCGGTATGCCATGGATGATCAAGTGACAGAGAAGCAATTTTCTAAGACCAAAAGAAGATCATGAATGTTAAAGTTCGACATCCAATATGCAAAGAAATTGCATAAGGCAAAAATCTGAAGGTAAACATTAGATTTAACCAATAAAAATGATGTTTCAAATGGCCTATAGAGACTCAGGTCAAGAAACTTAAAGAACAGATCAAAACGAGCTTAAGTATTTACCGTATATGCATATACTGTGATTGTATTATTATAATGTAGTATATGTCTATGTAGTGTTATAATTATATCATCAGTTACATTTAGATACATGTCATATCCCAGAGGGCAGTCATGACATATTGCTCCTTCTAGGTTCTGCCCTTGTAATGTAGTTTAGTAGTTCACACGTTAGTGTTTTAGGTAACTTGTTATTGTAAGTTTTTAAACCGAATAAAAAACAGTTCAAAGGACTGGCAACAGGGAAATCATATGTCAACGAAAGAAGACATAAGTGAATAGGTAAAAAACCAATTAGATCGTAGAAAATATTGGAAATTTCTAAAAACTTGATGAAAATACAATCTACCTGTTTCTTACTCGAAGCTTTCTTTCCAGCAAGTCACCAAAGTAATGAACGTATCTACGGAAACAAAATGAACGTAAAAGCACCGTTTATCAACATTTTGCTTCCTTCTGCTGGTTTTGTTTGCTGCCTGATTCAATACTCTGTCAGTTGGAATTAGGCCCTTTTTGTGGTGATAAATGATCAAGTGACGTTCTACCAATGCATTTTCTACGCATAGATACCTAGTTATCCGAAGAAGCAGCAAGCAATATAATGCTTACCGTCCAAATGCAGGCCAACACACAGAAATCCGCGAGACTGCAACTTTCAATCAAGGTCATCAACATTTACTTTCTAAATTTCTTGTATGACTTGTTTGCTTTCGTATACCCCATTTTGATAGATTCAATGGTCAAAAAGTTGCACTCTCGATTAAAGACCTCAAGCTGCACTCTCAGTTATATTGTACACCCTCTTCCAAGACCCACATGCGTAGTACACCGCTTTCCTGACTCTGTTTGACCCACATGCGTAGTACACCGCTTTCCTGGCTCTGTTTGATTCAAATCCTCTTGAAATACCATTCCTAATTCACATACTTCTCGAAGACCGTGCACTATTCAAATACACGTTAAATATAACCAGTCAAGATTTCAATATTTGCAGAAGACAAGTACTGTTCAGTTAGGAGCAATTTTAAGTGAAAACAAAGCCACCCGTAATCTAATCCATAATCATCATAAGCTGGATTGAGAAAAATGAAAATACTGAAGGACAATCGTACGCAGATAAAAACTAAAAACAGTGAAAATAAGAGGCAATTGTTCCCCGTAATTATACAAAAACATGGTATTCTTCAAATCATGTGTTAGTATGAATAATGCCTATATTTTTAATAATATGGAAGGTAATGTTTTGAAAGAAGAATTATAATGAACTTATGCAGAACAGCTGCAGAAAGAGAAAAAGAATGTGATGACGTGCCTAAATGTTGTCTCTTGAATGCTTTTTTAGGACGTTAGTAAAGGCAGCCAAAACCATGCAAAATTGACATTAAAGGATTGTGAATAAGCTGAATTTCAGCATAATTACGAGAGAAAAGAAGTCGAGATTGCAGGGCGCTTGAAAAACTTTCGATTAAGTATGCTGAAAGTTATTTGTTCCATTCATGGTTTGACAAGTAACTCTGGGTACTCCGTCCCGCAAAGCCAGAAGAAATCGGGAGTCTATGACAAGATTGCAGGAGCTAATAGCACCAAAAAAATACTGGCTGCCCCTGGCTTATAATGACATGGCCCACGATAAGGGTAGTTTCTTCTTCCTTTACGTGCAGTATAAAAATGAGATTCATTTTGGCATTTTTCAACATTATAGTCACATGATTACAAAATACAAGAGTTCTTGCCAAAAATGTTCTAAATGCGCAATGCCATAAAAGAATTATGTAAAATGAGAATAGCTGTTGTAGCTTTTTCGCTAGTTGCCTGATCATTGTATTAAGCATGCAGCTGGGGGTTCTTAGAACCGTCCTGTTCTAGACACCAAAAGGGAAATATAATACGATACAAAATGAGGGCAAAAAGCGTTTATTTCCAACAACCTGGTCGAAAAACCGTGCTTAAGGCAACGTGGATCATCCTCAAAGGGTCATTGTAACATTCCTTAAAACTTAAGGTTTCAGTCACTTCGAGTTTGAAGTGTCAAATCAAAGTTACCGATCACATATTTTATGACTTATAACTGACGAGTCAAGTAGCTGTTTTCCTATTTTCCAGTACAATCTGCTACCCTGACACCCCTGTGGCTGGCCTTCTATTCATCAATGTTAAGCAAATTAAAAGGCCGCCTTTTAACCACCTATTGCGAATGGCTTATGTTTGACTGAACTCTTCGTATTCCTACAGCTCATTTCGAGCTCATTTGATAAAAACTAACTGCATGTATCCTTTATCTAGTTTGCCTTATGAAATCTAAATCAATAATTGACAACACGTATTAAATTCTTAGAGGTTTTCATTAATATGTATTGTCAAGCACTTGCGTGTGAAACACGTAAGGCCCAGTTCAATGCAATGTTTATCTATCATGGTCATCAAACTGACGCCAAGTAATGAGTATATCTAATAACTCAACCTGACTGGTTTTTTTCTATTGAACATCTAAAGGAGCATCTTGGAAATAGAGTGGTGCTTTGACTCCTTCGCATGCGATGTTACCCCTTCGCTTAGAATTACAAAGAGCAATTGGCTCTTTTTAGTTTCAGTGCTACCTTAGTCAGTTCCTGAACTCTTGCTTGCAAATTCCGAATAAACACAGTAAATATAAATCACAGTTAAACACTTTATTAAATCATAAACTTCCAGCATCATCTGAAATTGCTGCAATATCTACACAAGGAAAAATAAACCCATCATCTCTCCAAAAGAAATTTCTAGATTAAAAACTCACGATCTAAAAGATCATCTTTCCTCGCTAGCGATTGACATGCGTTCTGGATACCCTGTCTATAAACGGTACCTCTGATTTCTTAGGCTATCAATTTAGGGCCTGCCCCTTTCTTGAGAATGTCGTGTAGACATTCAGATGGATCTAGCAGGACGCTTCATTTCTTGTACCGAAATTTATCTGGCAACAAACCCAATAATAAATACCCGCAAGAAACCCAATGCTCTAATTTCAACGTCAATGGCTGGATAGATTTTTAATCAAACATAGCGTTCTGTGGTCAAATTTATTAGCTAGCAATGAGTTTTTGCAAAAAATAACGTACAGTCAAGAGCCTGATGTACTTACCACCTTACTAGTCTGTGCTACAATCAATTTGAGAAATTGATTTGCTTAGCAGGTACAATAGACTGCTTGAATACATGATGAGAGCAACGCTTTTGATGTTTTGAATAAAACATCGAGCCTTCAGGTCACAAAGATAAGGTTTTGCAATATCAAAAGTTACATTAACTAGTTTTTACGGGAATTCTACTTCAAGAGTAGCGGATCATCTGTTCAAAACCATTGATCCAGAGGGATAAAGGCAACCAACAATTTTAAACTGCGCAAATGAGAGAACAGCCACAAAATATTTCCTTTCTAGATAACCTAAGCGGTACTTTTGGAGATTTCATATAAATCTATCTTGATTTGATTTGACCTGATATTAGAGAAATCTTTACTTGCTGACGTATTTTACCAAAAATTTATGCAACTGCGTAATAGCTAAAGATATGTAAATAAACTGTATTGTAGGACAACTCTCTTGTTTCTTTTTGTCTCCGATTGTCCCTTTAATTATTTTCTCCAATTTTAATTAAATTTTGGAAACTGCATTAACATTTTTGTAAACGAACATTTTTTAAAATTGTGCATGTTAAGAGCACACCGAGCACACCCCACCCCCCCTGATATCCAGATCAGTATAAAATAAAATCTGTACATTCTTATTAGAAGAAATGAAATATGTTTCATAATCCTTAAAAAAATAAGTTCACAGCAACAAAAATTTTGCTACCTTTTTTGGGATGGCTGAGTCACACCTCCAAACTTGGTATCGTAGAATCGGCGCAGTGCAAACCAGTCGAGGGCAGCCTGAGGGCTAACAAAACAAGAAAAAATTTACATTAATCTTTGTTTATAAACTACACCAAAGCTAAGTTTAAGAAACAAAGTAAAGGTTGTATATAACAAATTACTAGACATTTCTTATTAAAAAGATCCTTAAGATCCGAATCTTAGTACCTTCACATTGTAAATCCAAAGGAACATTGGTCAGCCAAAACTGTGACAAGATCGGGGTTTTTATGAGCCTATGATATATGGTTCAAAGACTTTACCCATACGATTTTGCACTGTACTATACCAAAGAAAACTACAGCCATTTTGAAATTTCTTGTTTCAGTTATATTGTAAATGTTTGAATAACTTTCAAGGTTGGTCATCACGATATTTCAGGTTAAAGGTACCACAAAAAGCTTCTCACAGCACAGTAGAAATAAATTCAGCACCAATAAAGGCTTTTGTTGCGATGGGAAAACTTAGAGTAACATGACCAAAAGCTTTCAGAAAAATAGTAAAAAATTATCATTTGAGCAGCTATTTCGTATGGTTGTCAGCTTTCGGCTGTGAGGAAGAAGGAACACAAAGTGCTGGAAATAACAAATATAAAAATATAGAAGTGAACAGGTTCGTCGCTCATGGATCGGAAAGAAATGGGGAAGGACATCAGGAGGGAAAAGATTATTACGATGATGAGTGAATTAGGTTTCGTTTTCAAAAATCGTGATCTTTGTTGGATCCAAGAGTGTACGAGCAGACGTTTATAAATTTCACTCCTTATAAATATGAATATAAGTTCATTCGTAGTTTTATCGTTAAGCATAAACATACCTGATTGGCGTCAAATGAGATAAGCAATCGCCAGAATAAACAAATAATGTGCAATAAGATCATCAACATACAATTATATATGCTCGATAAACTTGACTGCGAAACGTCCAGTTGCGATGCTGCTGTGAGGTGGCACAAAGCATGAATCAAAAAGGCGGAGCACAACCGAAACAAAAGACCCAAAGAAACTCCCTTTTATTCAAATGCAGCTCTGACAATTGTCCATGCACAGAATTCATTGATAACAAGACGGGGGAAAGGCCAGGGAAACTATTTCAAAGATATACAGGAACAAAGAAATACGACGACAAGAATCCAATGTCACAAAATAAAATTTTCAAAATAAATTAAATTTGAAAGGAAGATAAATAATTTAATAAAATAACACTGACAAGAGTTATTTTTTAAATTCTTTTAAATAGACAGCCTTCACGAAACTTTTTGCTTTTTAACGCATAGAACGAAACCCTGGAGGCATTTTAGTTACCAAGGCAACAAGAGCAGCGGGATACTGACTTATAATCGTACTAAATGATTCTTCAATGCAATGCATTTGTACTGGGTAAACAATCAACTACATGGCTAAGAGACTATCAATGGTTCAGGTATTAATTATTAATTACAGGCTTGCACGCAAAATCGCCATGCAAACAAAGCAGAGCAGAAAACTCGAATTTTGCTGCATTATCCACTGGCTAGATTAGCGCATCCTTGTTTTCCGTAAAAAAGATAGCGGGTACGGTTACAAAAGACCTCAGTTTGTGATAAATTTAGATTCTAATTAGCTCTAAAATGGGTTTTTACGGTACATTCGGGATTGGTAAATGGTTAGAAAATACAAGCCCACCAAAACACACAAAAATTAATTTTTGTCATAACTGATTGAAAATCTGTATAAAATACGAAATCATTGATATTTGGGAAGCATTGGTCACAATCCATCTATTGATTGTTTTAAAAAACTAATTTTCTTCGATAACATAAAAAAAACCACCCCAAGTCTACAATGTGCAATATTACAATAAGTTCACCCCTGCCTTAACGTTTTGAAATTCAAAATATTCATAAGCACATTAATAAAATCGTTTACGGATTACTGAAAATTTACATTTATAATAAACTATTGATACTTGACAAGCACTGGCCAAAGATCAACTTATAAATCGTTTTTGATTAAAATTAATTGCCTATGAGAGTGAGAGAGTGAAAGCCTCTACCAGACCCTTAACAAGGATTTGGCCCCCTACGAGAATTTAAGGGGGAACAAACATGATAATTTAGGTGAAATAAAGGGGGGACAAACAACTACCCCCTGTTATACAAATCGCAAAGTCCAAGTTGGTGAATCTTAGAGTTCTAGATACGGAATCCCCAGTTCGTGGATCGTGCTATCAACAGTAGCCCAAAAAGGCAGGAGAAGGTGAAAGCTGCAATTATTTTAAGATAAATCTTGTTGAAACCTCTTCAAGTTTAGAAGTCATCACACAAGGATTTATCCCTGTGTTTCAACCCTGGATAATCAAGGATTTCCTCTCCTTATAGAAACTAAAGCAAGTGGGCCTACTTAACCTGACTGATGTATTTGTCCATCTTTTCTTAACTTACGTGCGGATATCTCTCTGCAAGCAGAGAACGATTAATCAATCAGTCATGAAATATTCAAACCTGGGACGAAATTCTGTGTAGGGGACTACAAGAGAAAGGATTTGCAAGAGAAGGGGGTTAAGATAATGGGTTGGTAAAAGACGGGGGTTGTAAGAGAAGGGGAGATTTAAGAAAAGATGGGCTGTAAAGTTGTAAGAGAAGAGGAGTTGTAAGAGAGGGGGGCTGTAAGAGAAGAGGCTTGTAAGAGACGGGGAGCTGTAAGAGAAAAGGGTTGTAAGAGACGAGGAGCTGTAAGAGAAAGGGGTTGTAAGAGAAGGGGGTTGTAAGAGACGGGGAGATGTAAGAGAAGGGGGTTGTAAGAGACGAGGAGCTGTAAGAGAAAGGGGTTGTAAGAGACGGGGAGCTGTAAGAGAAGGGGGTTGTAAGAGAAGGTCGCATAAGAATGGCTTCGCTGCATGATGAAATGCCCAAGAGACCATTTGATATTGCCCGATATCACTGCAGTAAAAACCCGCGGATAAGAACCTGGTTTTTCACTTAGCCTAAAGAGGTTTTTATATGAAGGGTACTTAAAGGGAATACAGGCCACCAAGGTTCTTAAAATAGGTTCATACTATGCAGTAACATTATACCTAAAGACAGTACAGACTTAACAAAATAAGTATTTACTCGAATAAACTCTTGGCAATATCTCTGAAATGTCATTTAAAAGACAAGGTTTATATGTGGAAAACTTGCAATAAATGAAAACTCAATGTTTGTACTTTGCAAATGCTGAATATTAAGAGACTTTATTGGAATGATGGGAACAACAGACGCAGTTTTATACTTTGGCTTCAAAGAAAAACTGTTTTGCCAAGTTAATTTAAGATAAAATCAGATAATGATTACTTTATTTAACAGTTTTTCACCTAGAAACTAATACAGCAGCTCCACTGGTAAGAACCTAACTTGATGTTCTAGCCTAAAGAGGTTCTTATGTTGAGAAGGCCTAAATTTAAAATTTTAGCCTAACAGGTTCTTAAAACCCAGGTTCTTATACGCAGGTTTTTACTGTATCAGAAACAGATAAAAGCAACAAGGAAAGTAGTAAAACAGAACTCAAGATAAGTATATGCATAAACCACAAAAAAGTCTCCTGCAATACTATTTGCATTTCAAGACCTTGTCTCGATTGCAATTTCCCATAATTCATTCATACAGTGTTCACTATTCTCCTGCTGCTCTCTGCTACTGCATTAAGCATGTTCAATAGATTGGTTTTTTCTGATTAACTTTAATGCCTGTGTCTTTTATAGCTCGATCAAATCGTTGACATAAATACGCCATAACAGACACTGACAGTATTTGAGAAAGTGAATACGAGTTTACAGATCACAACAACAATGCTCCTGTAACTTCCCTTGTTAATGTGTCGTTATGTGTTCAAAAGTACGATGATTAATCATCTAAACGATGTCTCTTTTACCGTTAAGCAATCGCTGGCCAAGTAAGGCCGATCAAGAACGTAGCGATAAAAGGTTTACGTTGTGATATGCAGATCGTTCAAATCCAAATGCGCGAACCTTGACCCTTGAACCTTGACCTCGACCTTGACCCTTGAAACTGATATCTGACAAGGACCCCAAATGTCAAATGAAAAGCTTGATAAGAGCGTGGAGGTAAATAATTTTAAAGATGTCGAAACTTTGATTCAATCGAAATCAGGAGACAAATATCTATATTTTCCGATGAAGTACCAGATCATTAAAAATATAAGGAAAAAAAACAATGATTCTTAAGGCTAAATTTTACTTATTGTTCAAAAAAATGTAAAGTTGTTACTTTCATTGATAAAGCGCTGTGCATACTGATGATGTCATTGTGCTACTGACTTTGCATCTTATGTGATTGTCAGTCAGCCTAGAATTGAATATTCAGACACGGGAAGCCGAACTTTCACATCCTATAAGTCATCCTGCGATCCTGATATAGTTTTCTTAATTGTGCTCGCATAAACTTTCAATCCTTGCGAAAAGTCCTTAGAACTCCCCTGTAACTAAAGCGCTTTTTAGGAGGATTAACACCTACAGTAAAATTAAAGGCAATCGACAGATACTACAGAGGCATGAGCTTTCCTTCAATCGAAAAATGACCAATCAATGAGAGTGATGACCTAAGCCATTTTCGTCGATTGCCTTCATCATGTGTCGATTGCCTTTAACATTTACTGTACCCCCTATCTCTAAAGCAATGTCGATTCTAATCAAGGCTATCTGACTTGAATCAAATGAAAAGCATTAATGTAGTACAAATATTTGCCGGGGGGAGATGGCGAGGGTGTATAAAAAATTTGCAAAAATCGCAGCATACTTGGATTTTTGTGGGCACTGTCTGTTTAGAGTTGCAACAAATGATAGGTAGAGTTGCGAAAAAATATTACCTTGGACAAACTTTATTGAATTGTGTATAAGCAGCAATAACAACTCCAGTTCTTCCTTTTCCTCCCTAGAGGATGAAAAATAAATTTCAAATTTGAACTTTGGATAACAAAATGAAATAAAATAAGATTTTAGAACATAAATTTGAAAACTTTAGAAGAGACATTAATTATCTAGAACCCTCGCTATATCGCAAACGTTTTGACAAGTTAGCTTAAAATCGACAAACTAGTTGTATCTAATTGTGTCCCGTGTAATATCATGTTTATAGAAATGGAAGCTTCTTTGTTCATAAACATCTTAAATTTACTGATATGATTTGTTGGATAAAAATTCATTTCTTCTTATATTCCCTGCAAAATATGGCCAGATTTGATAAATCATAAATGAGAGCAACAAATCATAATAGAGTGTAATGAATGATGGTAAAGTTTTAAACAAATCAACTGGCAAAATGATATTTAAACCTCCTTAGGAAATATATGTAACATTTTTCACGTTTCCGGGTACCGTTTGAGCTAACAAATGAAGATTTAGGGTAGAAATATACCGTATTAGGAAAACCATATTATTGCTTAAAATTGTTGATGGGCAACTTAAGCTCTAAACACCAACAAGTATATTCATTTCCAAAATTTTGGGCTTGGACCGATTCATTAAAGCCAACACGTTTGGCGAGTTAATACATTCTTCTGATAGGTTCAGATGAACGGCCGCCCTATTTGGCTGAAAATGCAACAAATTGTTAATTTGTTGTTAAATTGTTAATTTTATTAAAAGGCGTCTACAAAGCAAATGCCTTTATTTGATTTACTTAGTCCCCTTTGGTCCCTGGTATCCTTCCTTGAAGGTTTAGAGCGCGTGAATTTATTATATCAAAAAAGAATGAGATTTTGACAAACTACAACAATTTTCAACCAACCGTTTCCCTCTCACAATACAAAGTGATACAACGCATAGAAGATGAGAACAGAGCATATAATTGGTGCTTTCCTAGATAGAATGAAAAAAGAAATTCCCAAACTCCCAACAATTCTTGCAAATCTACTTATCTTCGTTTGCTCGGCTACAGGAAACAGCCGTAGTTTATTTTCTTAATTAGATAAGATTTTTGCTGCAGTTATTGACGCATTTTATCTTCATTAGTAACGCCAAAAGTGCAGAAATTGCCTAGAAAGTTGTTTTGGGTGAACCACAGAAAAAGTGGTGCTGAACTGCCTATTTAAAGGACTTTGAAAAGAAAATAGAAAAGAAAAGCTGTCCTTGAGTCTGGACGTACCTTGCAATGGACAACGGTAACATTCTGTTCGTCTGCACATAACCACGAGTCCATTGACTTTATTATGCTGCAAAAAACAACAGTTCAAATTAAAATCACAAGCAGTTCAGAAGGGCATCTTTTTTAAACTGGCGCAATGGAAATCACAACGACACCCTTGATGTTACTTTCAATACATTCAATAAACGAAATAACGATTTACTGGTCTTTGTCAGCCAAGGCAATTATAGTTACAATCATTATCGACCTTAATGTAATCATTCTTAGAGTAAATTTATTTCGACATCTTAGAAGAGTTGTTTCAAGGAAAATAGATGTAGAAGTTATCTCTCTATTCTTTTAAGAAAAATCCCGCTTCTTCAACTTCAAGAAGCATTTCGGCTGTAGATCAGGAACTTACTAGAGCGGATCAAAAGAGTACGGATAGGCCTTGCGTTTACACGGGAACTGGTGGATCCGTATACTTTGGGATCGCTCTCCGGATCCAGTGTAAACGGGTGGATCTGGTCTAGATCGGATCCGTCTGCGTTTTTCGAAAGTGAGACAGAATATTTTCCAATTCAAGGAAGTTTGAATATGCAATCCGTGGCTTTTTGGCGCCAGAAAACCGAACATCAAGTTGACAAACTACTGTGTTGAAGAATTATTATGAAACCTTGACGATATGTCGTCGTACTTTGTCCTCATATTTTCCCAATCCTGTCCACCTGCAAGCTTTGCAGTTTTTTGTAGTCCAATACTACTTTCAAAAGTAGCGCAGTTTCTTCTTCAGTCCACGAAAAATTTACCTCTCTCAATTTTCAGGTTGAACTGTGATTTTATCATGCACGAAGTTCTGAAAACGTCATATGCACGCCTATTTTGGAAAAGCGCAAACCAATTGATTTCATCTGGATCCGTTTCCGTGTAAACGCATTGCCATTTCAGGGATCGGATCCAAAAGTATCCGATCTGGTCCAGGTCTCGTGTAAACGGGGTCTTAATTTCATCAAGTTTAAGAGCTGATATCAAGCCAAAGCAAAAACATGAGAATATACCTAACTAGTCTTTCTAATGGTGGTGCTAGATGGTCCGGCCATCCAAAATCTAATACCTGCAAGGAAAGAAGGCTAAAATTACAGAAATGTTTGCGTAGGGATGTAAAACATCAATAACATGAATAAAATACGATACTTTAATAAACACCCCCCCCCCCCTTTTCGTTCTTGGCAAAACCGCTTCTGAATTTCATCTTAATTCGATGAACAAATTTTGGATGAAAGGGGTAATATTTTGGCAAATTCTTCCTTGTGATGCGATTCTATTAGTTTGAAACTCCCTTTTCTTCGTAACCAAAATTGGCAGCAATGGAATTCCCTTGCGATTAAAGGGCGAAGTGAATAAATTCGCCAACCCAAACAGGAAATAAATATCTATTCTATTATGATTTTGCAAAGGACACTTCTTAAAAACAGGACGAGCAGATTACATTTCACATTTTCCATTTTACCCTAAATTGTCCAACATTCATGAAATTAATTCGATAACATGATAAACAGAAACATACAAGAAACATGCGTATTTTTTGAAGAAAACTATATGGAATTTGAAAAAAATTGGTAGAGAATAGGTATCTTCAGTAACGTGGGCCTTGAGATTCTAACAACCAGAAATAAATAGATAAATGTTTATCCTACTTGATTATTCAGCTTGGATATGTCATAGCGCCTCTCGGAGACGTTAAAGACCATGTATCTGTTGCCATGTTTCTGGTGTAGCATCGAGGCAACCTCGGATAGGCTATTGCGATATGTGGACTCGAGGCCACTCGCAGGAAAGGACATGGCTGTAAAATAAAGATTTATGATGTGATGATATATCAATGAGTGATTCAAATCCTATTAGTAGGTTAGTAAGTAGAGATATTGTGATAAAACAATATCAAGGGGTTCATATAATAATAAATAAAATTCTGAGTACGTGAATTTGTTCAAACGTCTTATAGAAATGACAGAGCGGAGAACTTTAGGTTTCTGGTATTAGAAAACAAAAAAATGCAGAAAATTGTTTTTCGTTATCGATTTATATATAAGAATTCATAACATAATAACAACTTGTGATGGTCTTGAACAAGTGTTTGCGATATACTTTATGGGATAGAAGTATGTGTGCAAGGATAGATTGAGCGATATGTTCAATGGGGATGTGCACTGAGAATGTATTAACAGGGACAACAACCTCAAAATTAGCATTTGACGATCAAAAGGATTACATATGATAACTTACAAACCTAATACATCAAATCGTGCGTTTTGAGTAAACATAATCTTAGAATAAAAATGCAACGTTTGAAATATCCAGATTCACAATCGCTTGAGATTTAGTGCATTTAATTTCAAATAGAAAGAATCATTAATAAATTACTTTGGCAAAATTATCTTTAAAAACAGTACCTTAAAAAGGGCTACAATATCAAAATATTATAAGGTGATTGTTTATGATATGATAGTATGACAAAGGGGAAGTTCTGCTCAGCCTAGAGATTCATTATATATATATTGACTCGCTTGATAATAAAGTGTTTGACTTATATTTTGAAAAATACTTCGCGTGCTTCTGACGAGCTTTAAGCAACTCAAAAGCCAACATATAGTACAAAACATTTGGATTCCTGAGGCGTGTGTTTAAATGCAGTCAATATAGTGTATGGAAGACTAGGCCTGGCAACAATCCATCCCTTCTAAGTTACGGGTTAGCATGTTGAATGTCAGGTAGATTGAACACTTGAGACGTTAAAAAAATAGCTGTGCCTTGCCAAATCCTTAAACCAAATCTTGACGTAACGATAACGACACAAAAAGTATTCTATATTCTCGTGGGATAATAGCAGAGCTCTCCCTTGGGTAGAGGGAACAGCCTGGTGTCTATTTAACATAAACCAAAGGGTAAACAAAATCTCCCCCTGGAGACTTGAAATAAACAAGAAAATGCTAGCCATTGCCTTAATGAATGAACAACAAGCAATTTGCGTCAGCGGCCTAGCTTTTGCTAATATCATCAGGAGCTCAGAATAATTATCATTAATCTTCTTTGTGAGGTATATTCACAGCAACTTGAAAATGAGAGTTTACCAAGTCAATGCTTACCTATAATACGGTCTGTTACATATGTCAGGTCCAAATCAAAAGCATCCTCCACATGCCTTGCCCTTCCTCTACAACAAAAGAGTTCTTGGTTGACAAATATATCCATAAATCTAGTTTAGCAGTGAAAACATTAGAGAGAACCTGATTAGGCAAAGTATAAGTAGATATTGTCGTTTTATGGTTAATACGCAGGGATTGAGCCGGGCATCGTGAGCCACTTGACTGCAATGGAGGAGGACGCCCTTTCCTGCCGTGTTCTCTGTTAAATCGTGGCTGCAACCAATCAGAGCTACCGTAACAGACTTTCTATTTAAATGCCTTGATCCATTTTGCTTTTCCGTGCAGCTTAAATGGTTGTATTTCTTTGGAGCCTGCTCTGGGTCATGGCATGTCCACGCAAAGCAAATAGGCTCCTTCCGGATTATGAATAATGTTAATCGGTAACTGATTTATGATAATGATGATGATGGAGACAACGATGTCAACAAAAAAGGACATGAATAGAGAAGAAAGATCAAATCATGAATTGAGTTTGCTCTTTTTTGAGAATAAGGGTAGGTAACAATGGCGGCGCCAGCTACTAAACTCTGGAGGGGGGGGGGGGCAAACAAAAAATTTAAGCCACGCCCTTTTAACCACCAGAAAACGCTCTTTTACCAACAGGGAACGCCAAATTTATCCGAAGGGAACGCCTATGACTAACTTTTGTTTGAAAATTGGCAGTTTGAATATCATGGGATTACATTACAAAAAGTACGGTGACCATCTGGTCTGTGACGCAGGCTTCCATCCCCCAGCATTTTCTCATCGAATTTAGACGAAATACAAAATCGATTCTGCTGAGAACTGGGGGGCGTGTCCCCCCAGTCCCCCCCCCCCTGTGCTAATGTGGTCATATTTCAGCCAAAAACCTTCTCTTTCAGTTTCGTAACTTTATTGTGACAATAAGTGACGAAATTATCATAAAAAACAAAAATCGAAATGAACAGTGTTGTAGCCATGAAAAACCATAATTTTGTCACAAAAAATTCGGGGGACGATTATTTTTTGCAAATAGCGAACAAAGGAATTTTCAATAAAACAAAAAAAATTCAAAGGAATTTTCAATAAAACAATAGGATTTCCACCAACGGTGTTACGAGATTTTCATAGAGTGATTTGCCCCTTGAAAAAAACCAACAATTTTCCTACTTTAAATTGACTTCAGACTCTTTTTTTCTAATCTTCCAAAGGCCAATAGAGGTTCGTGAATCTGGATTCTTGTTGAAAAATAACACAGTAGACATATTAACTTCGACAATAGGCCAATGTATTGACGAATTTAGATACCATAAAAAATCAAAAAGCTTACTCAGAACCCATAGTTCCTCGCTGTGTGTCAAATGTCTGATTTCGTTTCGATATTTTATGGAAACGACGAGAATCGAATCGTAATTAGTTTGCAGGTGAAAAAAAAATAATCGATGTTCTCGGCTTTTGTGTCAATGCTTCTACGTAAGATAATCAAATCGTTAAATCAACACATGCCACTGTATTTCAAGAGCTTTAGGACAACTAACTAGTCAAATATTTCTAGGTGAAGCAGCTGTGGGATTATCTATCCGATCAAATGATGAAAAACGTGGAATATTTATTACTGTGCATTAGTTTTCCAAACATTTTAGTTATTGTAGACGAAATCGATGACAGAAGTTTTACCTTGGAAGCGAGGCTTTTACAAAATGGTAATTAGGGACGAAACGCGAAGAAAGCTGAATGTGACAGCTCCTTGGGCATTGTTCAATTAAACAGCATTCAAAGTCTTATATCATCTACTGCAAAATCGAGGAACTTTCCTTGGGAGCAATATATTTTTGAATGTTTTTACGTTATTGATAATGTGTGATGACTATACGAAGCGCAAATAAAACGTTAAGCGACGGATGGAATGCTACTTAAACAAACACCATAAAGAGATGATAACTGCGATTGCCCGCCAGCGATGTTAATTAATGGATGAAATACTAATCAAATTTTACTTCAGCTAGAGAGGTCTATTAATAAGGGCTTGATTTCATGGAGGCACGACCTTCTCACACCCCAGCCCCTTCATTCTCATTATATCATTCTTACGATACTACATGGATTTTCGTCCAAAAATATATCTTCTTTTTATTCAGAGGCTTGTAATTTACTATTCCATCTACACAAGAAGTCTTCAGACCTGGGTAAAACAAAAGCAGAGGTGGCGCCAGAAATCTTCTGACAGAGGGGTTGGAGCTTCCGACAGGGGGCTAAAACGACTAAAGTAAGCAGTTTTCGTACGTTATTTTGTCAAATTTGCTCCGACAATAACCTAAAATTTCCTCCGATGGGGGGCTAGATGCTTCCGACGGAGGGGCTGTAGCCCCCCCCTAGCCCTCCCCTGGCGCTACCACTGAACTAACGGTAAGGCTGGACTATAAGAGCTCCTTGTTCTACCCGGGGTGAAACTTTCATACTTGGGTCAATTCCTATGCTCCTGGATCCAATTATCATTTACCAATCCCTTTTCTTCTGAAGCAAGACTTTTCAGCCCGGCAGTAAAAAGTGCCATGTAACTAATCGAAAATATTTTCAACTCGGAAAAGAGGGCTGAAATTCCAGCCTTGTGATAAAAAATGCCCTTCAATTAGGCCTTAACAAGTAGTAATAGATCATATTAACCCATACCTCTCCGGCGCAGTCAAAGATATATTCATTGTTGGTAAATTGTCTAAATTTATTTTCTCCTCTAAAAGAGACCAAACGGAAACAAAACTTTTCCTTTACCTTTTTAGGGCTATTCCTGAACTCATCTTAAGAGGTGTTAATTTTGTTTCTTCTTTTAACTAATTTTTACTATGTATTCTGTATCCTTTTAATCATATTCCAACATCTTCTGATATTCAATTTATACTCACATTAATTAACTTTTCGTTCATGGCCAATAAATACTTACTTCGTTACTTACCTTCTACCGTAGATTGCTAGTGGGTTGACTAAAATATTCTTGCTATAACTTACGGTTGAATTGTTAAGAAATGGAACAATGAATCCCTTACCTCGAAACCTGATGCCGAATTTGCGCCACAAATGACTTTGGAGTTGGTGGTGGCTCCTGAAAAAGGTATCACATTCATAAAAATATGAATTCAGATGACCAATAAAGAAATTTCTGTTAACTATAAATCATCCATTTTGTCTTATGTTAGTAGCTTTGTTTCTGCACTGATAGGTTGAAAGCAAGCAAAGTCAGCTAGCACTGTTGGCAAAAAATGCCTTATACTGTCTTAGCAAACAGAAGGTACTCATTACAGAATAAAGAAAAACGAATATATTTCATAATGCCCAGTTTACAGGAACGTATAAACTGTGAACACCAGAGGATCGTTGTACTCCTGGCTAATTTGATACAGAATATGTTTTACCAAAATGGAAAAGCTCCTTAGAAGCTATCCACATCAATGGTGCAGTTTTTGGGTCAAGTCTTGAAACATTCAAAAATGGAAACACATGTAAATCTCCCTTGTTCTTAACATATTGGTGTGAAAGTGTCAAATGGTGTCATATTAGGGTTTAAGCAGTGCAATTTCTAGCTCTTATGCTCAAGAGGAGTGTTCAGGCCTCATTTGCTAGAAGAATAGGTCTGTCCTTGCCAATAAAATTAAAAATTCACCGACAATAATAAAGCATCCCCCGTTGACAAAAACTCCACGTTTGTGAGTTGGAAATTTTAGGGGGTTTCACAGCTCAGGGGTTTAAGGGGTTAAAAATTAAATTTTAAGTAGTCTATCCTCAGCTGGTTCTTAATTTGTTCCGAACTTTTGACCAATCAGAGGCTGGTGCTCCCATAAAATAATTCTGACAAAAAATGGTTAATTTAGTGGTGTTTTGGGGAAGGGGAAACTAGCAACAACGGTCGGTGAGCATTAAGTTGCAAACATTTCAAAGAAATAGAGCCCCCCCCCCCTCCCCCCTCCCATCTCGCCAAAACATTCACAAGGTGGACGAAATGAAACCCGTCACTGTTGAATTTAAGGTCACAGTATTATAGAACTTTAAAAATGAATTCTACGAGATAAACCGTTCTTCCAAATCCGGCCCAATAACCCGGGGTGGTTTTTATGTGAATTTTCAAACTTGAAGGTAAATAAAGGATGTCCCACTCAATTTGTTGGTAAATGAGGCCTGAAAATCTCCCTAGAGCACACTAGCTAGCAATTGCACCGCCCACACCCCACTATTTAAGAACATATTAAGAACAAAAAAGCCTTAGACTTTCGAAAAAATTATGAGCAACCAGCCTCAAATTCAATTTACTAGTTCTTACAAAAAAGTGTAACAGTAATCTTTAGAGAAAGGATTCAAATTACAAAAAATATACGCCTAGGTCAATAAAAGCTAAATTTAACAAGATATTTGAAAGGATCACAGTTATTCAATACATTTTTAGGCCAAATTAGGAATGCGTTGAATGTGTTGTGCAAACTAACACATCTTGAAATGTGAAAAGCAGCGTTTGGACGAGGTCACTCGTCTTAAAATACAGCCTGCAAGCGTTATTATGCTACACAACATTGATAAATTTTTACCAACATTTAAAGAATGACAATGTTAATGAAAGAACGGCCTCTGAAATGACAATGTTATGAATATCTTAGATTAAACAACTGAAGGTACGACCGTTATTAGTGTTGTATAGTAATTTCCTGTATGCAAAGTATTTTGTGACATTTACTTGTAAAATTTTATTGGAAATATATATAAAAAACTTGA